ATCCCATCAAAGAAAACACTCCAACAACAACCTAAGTCCGAAAAACTCCCTTCGTGACCTCAGATCAAGAAATATGGCAAGTGTCGGCCACCGAGAAGTATCCGTGTTCCAGAACCTGTCGGGGGTAAAAATATAGGATCGATCTACCCTCATCCATGTCTAAAACCTACCTACCTTTTTCGAGTTTGCTATTCTCGAGGGTCAGCTAGGCGTCGCACAACTATGGACTCTAGATTCTTCGACACAACGTTAGTCAAACTAACTCAACTACAGTTGTCGTAGGAAGACTTTTCTCTCTTCTCACAAACTACGATGACCAGAGAGGTACACCGGTCAGGCAGCACCCCGCTGATTCCCATACACTACTTAATACCTCCGTCACTCTACTCAGCAATTTAATACCTCCTTCCTTGAAAAATTCGGCTGGAAAACTGTAAGCTCCTGCTGCTTTCAATCGTTTCGGGTTCCATACACCCTTCTCAACTTCAAGGAGAGGAGGAGAACTAATAGCCACGTACCATTCAGGTTTTCAATAGATGGTGGGTAACTGAAGCATTGCTGCCAACCAGTTGGATTCTGCATCAAAGTGTCCCGCCCAACCTTCTAGCCACCTATCCTGTCAGAAATCATCCACCTCCCGTCTTTTTCAGTGACGGTTTCGCTCACCATCGTCTTCTTCTTACCAGTATCCTTAATATAAACCTAAACAGCTGCCGAGTGTTACCCAACCCCGATGCCTTCCTTCTTCATCTCTCTTGCTTTCGCTACCCACCACTTCTCGGGATCGACACAAAAACTTCTCGTCAACTGAAGTTTAGACTGTTCACGCTCTTCGTCGTGGTTACAGCCAGCTGGAATCAGTTTCCTCGCATTAATCAATCAGTTCGAATGACCTCACGGAAATCCAATGACGCTTGCTAACCTTAGTGTATAGGTTAACGATTGTCTTTACCGCCGTTTCTACAGCAGACTCAATGTCACACTACCTCTCCTCAGGGTGAGGCATTGCTGTCATCATTAGATAAATGATTGGCTACCACCTCCCCAAATGACACTTGACATTCTCATCTTTCAATCGAACATAAACAGGTCTCACTATCGCTTGCTTCCTGCCACCAGTAACGTGCAGACATACACGAACGCGTGCTAGCGCGTGATCACAGTCCAAAATGGTACTCCACAAACAGCAGCGTTCCTCCACCCATCCTCTCCAACAATGACTTACAACAATATCATACCTCTGTGTCCATCGTTGGTTTGATGTCGGCGGACGACATGTGAGACAATGTCTCTCCTTATGCCTAGCCTAGGGTTAGTGCTGGTCAGAAACAAGTGACTGCTGGGACAAAATTCCAACAGATGATCGCCGTTGTCGGGTCTTTAGCATGGGACTCCGTAGACACCTCCGAGATGTTTCTCCAATTGGCTCAGCTTCCCTACTACAGCGTTAAAGTCACCCACCATTATGACTACATCTGAACGTTTTGCTTTCTGCAGAAAAATTGACAGCTCATAGGATTCATCCTCTGCATCATCCGAACCGCAGTCGGTGAGCGCATTGGCGGAGATTACAAATAGGCATCGGTTGGTAAAACGATCCTTCCTAGGCCTTCCACATCCACATCTGCGAACACCACATAGATACCTGTTGATTGGTATCCAGTAGAGAAGTGCACTTTCTGCCCTACACCTCAATGCTACGCCTACACCACCCAGCCCATGAAAGCTAGCCACTGAGTTTCAAAATACTCGTAAGGTGAATTCTCAAGATTTACCACTATGGTCAGGCGAGGTCAATTTAATAATCATACTCCAGCCCTGTCTCTTTATGTGTCTCACAGACACAACATATATTCATGACTCGAGATTCTATGGTTCTGTGAGGCGATGCTCGCTGTCCGATCTGGCACAGACTTCGCACATTGAAAGCCCCTACATGAAATCTATGGCGAGCGGGGTCTTATGAGACCAGGAACGAGGTTCCGATATCTTTCATCTTTGGCAACGGTCGCCAAATGAGAGGCTGGGTAAGGCACAAAAGGTTTAATATTAGGATAACGAGGTGAAGACAAAGGAGGAGACAGAATTGAGGAGGATAGGTTACGTTTCAATGGGTCTTGTGTACTACTAGAAGCGTACAGGCAGTTGACACTTCCCACCTCCCCACACCGTGGAAGGTTATTTTTCAGTAAGGTATCTGAGAGAGAAAAAGATTTATGTGACCGAAGAACCCTTTTACTTGAGGTCTGGCACACACAGACTTTTACGGGATGTTATTTTGAGTTATGATCGTCCTAACGCAAGATAGTGAGAACCCATAACCCCATTGTGATATACAAACTCGACCACCACGTTAAGGCAGACCTATCGGTCGAGTAGCATTAAGTGCTAAGACAGAAAATCTACTGCTTTCCTGGATCCCATGGACAGTCACCTGTGTCTTCTCAGATTGGACCGTGAAGTGAGGGCTAAAAAGAACATTGAAACTCACCATCATTTCTTTCTAACCTCTGCCTATTCACCCACTGACTGCAGCTCGGATGAAATGAAAGACAAGTCCTACTGGAAACTGCCTAGCTCCCAACTCCGAAACCCAAACGTTGACATGTGGTTGTCGTAACAGATGCAGCACGCGTTCGGACAATGACCACCCGTTAGTTCGAACACAACTATGTCTGCGCTTAAATGGACGTTGGAAACCTACAACAACATGACCATTCCAAGTGAGGCTCGATAAGAATACCAAGGCCGTTTTTAATGAGGAACTGAATAGACAGTTACCGGAACAAGACAGTGTCACTCATCCAGAAGAAGCATGACATCATCTACAGTCTGATGTCTAAACAGCCTTAAACACCGGAAACAATTCACAAAATGTGTTAGAAGGCGTTAGTACATCTCCGCAGCTGCTTCATGAATAATAGATAATCAAGAACGGATTCTTGCAGGCTCTGAGCGAAATGAGAAGAAGAATCCACTCAAATCTAAACTGATCAGAAAAACTACTCAATCACCGTGACCAGTCAGTGGTCAGTGAGATTATATCAGAGAAACATGGGTCTGTGATTCACGTGCAGGATGGACGATGCAAACGATAGGTGGAAAAATTCAACCAACTTTTCTCTTCTTTGGAAGCTTTACAATCTCATCTAGAATAAAACATTCAGATATGAATTCCAACTGTTGCTGAAGTAAATAAAGTCGTATGTAATCTGAAACGAGAAAGGGAACCAGGTTGAGATGGGCATGCACCGGACAGTGATCAACAATCATTGATCAAATCAACCGAAGTGCTAGCTAGCGTATGGGAACCAGATATGATCCCGTCTGGTCGGTCTCAGACACTGATTGTCTTAGTTCTCGAAGAAAGACGAACCACCACCACCCACCCACACACACACACACACCGGAGATAACCGCAGGACATAGTGTCTAAGACTCTAGGTCTCATAATAATTAAATACCTAAGTGAAGCTCAGGAGCATCGAAGCCATAAAAACTAGTCACGCCTCACACCTGGTCACGGATGTCCCGACCAGATCTTCACCCTTCACCAGGTTCCCGAACACCGACATACTTCCCAGCCCCCTACAATAGCTGTATTCCTCAACCTGATTACATCGACCGAAATGTCTCATGGCAATGTCTCTCAAGGAATGAGATGGGTATTGGATAAGTACATCACCCTGTTAAAGGCTCTGTATCCGAAGACCACTCAGCGTGTCAGAGACTAGACTACGACGACTTATCAGCTGATGTCCACTCTCTCCAGTTTTATTTGATTTCGTCACAGTCGGGTTTATGTATACCTAACTCGTCCTTTCTTCGGAATCTACAGAGATAGACCTTATCACAGGAAAATCCTTAGTAGACCTAAAACAAGCAGATGAAATAATCCATTGTCACGTGAAGATCTTGATAGAATACAATTTTCTGAACATCTTGAGTGGCAATTCGAGAATGTTTGGAATTTGTTTCTCACCATTCAAATGAAAATTGTTGCTCCTGACCTTCTCTGGATTTTTGTCCAACAATAGGGAGTCGAATAGTTGGAAGCACTGGTCACTCCACTTTTCTGGGAAGTAGGATCAGCCCTCTTGGTGGGTCAGAGATAGAGGAAATCTCTGTACAAATGCAAAATCTGCGTTGACTTTTACCAACCAACACCATCTCTAGGACTATCATGATACCTGATATCCTAGTAAGGGCTGAACCCCATCAGTGCGTATCTATTTATACTATAACGGTAACTGCTTTTCATCTTGCTACAATCTAACATATCCATAAGGAATGATACAAAGAAGCGCTCCAGTCAGTGAACCTTGTTGAGCATCACCGTAATATGCAGTCCCAGCCACCACGTCAAGGTAGCAGCTATGGGTCTTGCCGCTTAGAGAGGTATCTGTGAGGAAGTTGTCAACATTTTGAAAACCACGTGCAAAAATTTACCAGGTAAAGTGAAGGCTTACAGTCACCCATCTCCGTGGTGTTTCCAATCGTAACTCGGAAGCCCGAGTGGTATAAATCAACCTAAGTTTCTTCCAGTGCCATAGTGACGTTAACCTCGCTGTAAAAGGTCAGGCATACAACGCATCGCAGGTCTGGACCATCTGACGTGAGAATTCCGGATGACTGCCTTTTTCGATCACCGCTGTCTCGGGAGGAGTGGTCGCATCCAATGGAAAAATCGTGTTAATTATTTTGAAGTGCAGTCAGTTATTCAATTATGTCGTTTTCGTGAGCGCTACTCACCCGGTCAGAGCAAGCTACAAACGTATGCACATTCGCCTTTCCCATCAGATTTCATTCTATCACCTTGTGTAATGAATCCCTTCATTATTTCATAACAGTACAGAGCCGGGTCATTATTCTGGAGGCCGTTGGTTTAGAAGTCACAACTCAAGTTACATACTAAATTCAATTATCGTTTTTGTACGACAAAAACAACACAGACCTAAAGAAACGCTATAATTCGTAAAGAAATTCATGTAAAAACATACCTGAGGATGTACTGAGAGCGATAGCATATTTTACAGGTGGATCACATTTTGTCCCGCTCAAAATAGGTCTGGATGAGACAGAATCAGTAATTGCGGGTGATCGTGGTAACTGCGTCAAATCAATTGGAAAGCCAGCCTCAGCAGCTTGTATCATCTGATTCATGCCAAGAGATGATCGTATATATGTTTTAGCCAATTCGATATTACCCGCCTGTTTTGCAGTTTTGGCAGCTTGTTTTAACTCATCCTGACGTTTGGTTAGAAGCATAACAATAGCCTCAGATTTACTTTTTGCTGGAGCTTGCCCAGAACTAGGTTTCGATAAAGATGCTCTAGTCTCACCACTCATTGTTTTCGCACCTTTAGACATGTTAGATCGATTAGTCAAAGGAGGATAACCCGGTGGAGGAACTAATTCTTCAAATTCAAAGGAAGTAATTCCACGTTCACAGGCTCGTAATCCTTCTTCATACCGATTAAGAATACGAGTATAACGACGTTTCTTCGATTCTTGTGATGGATCTCCAGCTATTTCTTGCAATTTTTCCTTGAAACAGCAAACGAATATTCAACGCAGTTAATCATGGTTTTGGAAAATATTCAGTTTAAATGGTACCAATGTAATCAAACTGCACTTTTTACGAATTACTTCACGATAACCAAAAGTCCTCTTTTTTATTTAGAGTGTCTTTTACTCGAAATCGCACTGCCAATAAGGCTAATCGATGAAAAAAAAATAACAATTAAGAGCCACACATAATCCATAAGGTTGGTTATTCATTTTGGAGCCAACTTGAACTCGTAACTCCATGGTCTATCAGCCAGGTATCTAAGTCATTACAAATCTTATCTAACATAAAATAAATTACTGACTTTATTAGTCACAAATGGCACTTCAAGAGTGAAATTCTTCTAGGTTAGCCAACGGTTTGAGATAAATTACTATTTAATGTAATTACTCATATTACATACAAATAAATTTATGCATGAGTCATAGAATCAGTCATTAAAATCTGACATACTTTGTAATAAGTTATACGGGCTAAAATATTTTCTTTGCAGACAATCGGCGTTTTCATAACATCCGGAACTGATGATTTCACTGTTGGTGGTGCCGCAACAGTTTCATTGGCATTCTCTTCAGTAGAAAATTCAAACTCTGATGGTGGTGGAGGTAAATCAGTCTCGGGATCAAATGTTTCCTTGCCAGCTTCTATATTAACAATAGCTTCACCGATACATTTTGATGCTTCTAATAACTCTTTGGCTTTACCAAGCTCACCTTCATCACGAGCTTTCAAAGCAGCTAACTGTACAATAAGAGCAATTAAAATACATATTAAGAAACCTAAAATAAAATAACCAATAATAAACCAATATAAGAGACTAGAAACAAATTTGATGATCATTCATCGAAAGAAATCCTTGGATAATTTACAATCCAACGATTTGATAATACTTTTCGTTATTTAAGCTTTCCTATCAAAATAAGCAATTAGTAAGAGTGTCTAACACTTTCTTTAGAGGGTCATGGCGTCATATTATCAAAAGAAATGTCACAGTTATTGTTTGAAAAATGGCCCACAACTTCATGGGTTGGTCAAAAACAAATGAATACTTATCTACACTTAAGGATGATATAACTTGCAGAAACAGTACTCTACAAGTGTTACTCCGTCTGTAGCTCAGAAAATACCTTTACTCTTAAACAAAACTCAAAAAGATGTTTTAGTGGCTCGTAATAACGTGAATCGATTCTCATGTATTCCAGGCAGCAATCTACTAACACAAGGCGAGTGAAGAAATGAAACAGTGAAAATGTATTTCTGTTGTTTACTGTCTAAACACAGTTTTTAAAAATACAATACGTGTATAGACTTGATATTAAAAAGTGATGCTATGCTTTTCCGAAGTTTCCACACGAGTACTTGAACTCCTTGAACCAGTAAAGTTACATGATAATCTATCACAAACATAATTGATTTATTAAACAAATTTGAGTACAGCAAGAATAATTAATTTTCCAAAATATGATGAATTCATGGCATCTTCTTCCCTTTTCAACCGTCTACTGGCTATAAAATTGAACGATATATGGAGACAAATACAACCTACACACTTTAGTCATCGTCAGACAGTCCATGCATGAAAAATGAAGGAAATACCAAACATTTAGGACTTTCAAATGAAATAATTTCTCCATTAACATAACAGTTATCCGATGTTTATATACCCACAATATCATTCTGCAACATTTGATAAGTCAAAAATCGAAAACAAAATATATCATATATGTGTACCTCAATAATCTGCATTTTCATTATCATTTTATCATTTATCCCTTGGGCTCCGAGTGGAACAGAGGGCTTCAGTAGTATCTCTCCATTGCACCCTCTTCTCGGCAGTCTTTTCAACCTCGCTCCACCACCACCCACAACCTTTCATTTCTTCCTCACACCACCTCCTCCATGTCACCCTCAACTCGTCGCCCAACTCGTCCTTTCCCATGCGGGTCCCACTCCAGGGCCTCACCTGGCACCTCATGTCCCCAATCCGTCTTCTCAGTCTATCCCCAATCCAATCCAATCCAATCCAATCCAATCCATCTACACTTTCTTCCAATGCATATTTGTTGGGCTACACGTTCTTGGTTGGTTCATTACCCGGCCAGAGTTCCTTGTTGCTTATTCTCATTATTCTGGCCATCTGGTCTTCAGTAACGAGCCAGAGTAGGCAGATGTTGATGAATGTCTGTAGTTTGTTGGAAATGCTTTTCGTGACGCGCCAAGTCTCTAAACCACCACATAGAAGCACTGAATCACTCGACTGAATTAGTATTGAAAATCTGGATCTTGTCCTTTGTGCTGAGTATAGTGCAGTAGATCTCCACACTGATTTCAGACTAGTGCACAAAGGCCTGTCTTGCTTGCTTGCTTGCTTTTCCCATCCTGCCTTTGACGTCCTCATCTGTGCCTGTGCCACCCCACCTGTAGTTGAAACGATGCTGTCTCGCCTACGTAGGTGAAAGAGACTACTTCCTTTACACTTCTCCCGTTCATGGTGATTGCTGCCTCTTCCTGTTGATGCTGTTGTTGGTTGCGCATCTTCATCACCTCCGTCTTCTCCACGTTCACCTCAAGGAAGTCCCGTCTTCGTTGCCCCACATCGCCTCTTCTGCCAACGTACTACTTTTCGCCTGTACATATCCCAGTTTCTGTGACAAGACATCAGACATAAATCATCATCGTCGGCGAAATCCAAATCTTCTAGAGTCTTTTCATCGGTCCATCCAGCGTGTGCCCACCTTCTCGCTCCTCACGGGTTGCTGCATGATCCAGTCCAATCCAGTCCAGTCGAACACAATCAGGAAGATCATCGCTCATAGTGGGCGACAACCTTATCTTACTCCTGTCTTCACCACATTTCAAAGGCATCACTAAGCTTTCCATTGTGAATCACTTCGCATGTAGCATCATATAGCATAGCATATAGCTGCTGTTGAATGACGTTAATAAAGGTTTGTATCACTAAAACCATACTGTTGAAGCAGCTGCCTGCCAAATTACTTCTCAGTCGACGCTGTCGAAGGTCTTTTCAAAGTCGATAAAGTTCAGGTAGAGATCCAGTCGACTGCCATTCTACGTTCTGTTCTATGATGATGCGTAGCGTTGCATTGCATTCCATTTCATTTCATTGCATTGCAATTTCATCCACACATGATTTGTTCTTCCTGAAGCCAGCCAGCCTTATATCCATCCTGTTCCGGTCGTAATTTTGAATCCAGCGCATCTTTTAGTCTCTCCAGCATGATGCAGCTGAATATCTTGTTTCGCCTGTACAGCAGCATGATTCATCGCCAGTCCTTGCAAACACTTAGGTCTCCCTTCTTTGGGAGGTAGACAAGGTGCCCCCTCTTCCAATCTGCAGGCACCTTCCCTTCCTTCATTGCAAACCTTCTCCAATAATGGTGTGGTGTCAGCATGTCCGCTGTTGTCTCTGCGTCCGTTTCCAGTGCTTCTGGCGGAATCCCATCTGGTCCTGCTGCTTTCCCGGATTTCAACAACTTTATGGCGTTCAGGACATCACTTCGCCTTCTGTCGGAGGGCTTGTGTTCACTGGCACTTCTGTGGCTGCGCTGCTGGTGGTATTTCCGGAAGAGTTCCAGGTCGTGGTGGTGGTGGTGGTGGTGGTGATGGTCGATTCAAGAGTCTTTTGGTGTGATCAGCCCATCGTTTCCTTTGTTTCTCTTCGTTGGTGGTAACTAGCTTTCCTTCACTTCACTATCTTTCATTGGTCTCATCTGCGTTGATCCCTTCACAGATAGTGTCTTGGTTGTTTGACATAGTGTTGTCAGGTCTCTGTCTCTCCTACCCGTAGCCTGTTCTGCTTCACTTGCAAGTGTGTCATAGAAATGTCTTTTGTCTTCCCGTACACTCTTCTTCACTTCTTTGTCTAGTGTAGCGGTTTATAGGTTGTGTTCAGTTCTTCTTTTCGTTATTCATCCCTGCACCGCACTGCACTGGTTCATCTTCTACTTCACCATCCTCCTCTCCCTCCTCTATCAGCTTCCATATGTCCGTCGAGATACATTCCTTATCTTATCTTGTCTTGTCTTCTCTTCTCTTGTCTCTTCTTTCTTCCTAATACCGATTACGCGGGTTCCCTTCCACGTCTCTTTCAAAGAGTTCCAGTGTCCTTCCACTTAGGTTTCCTCGGGGATGTTGCTTAGTGTCTCTCATTTTGTTCTGATGGCTGACTAACGTGAAGATGTCCTTTGTAGTTTCGTCCTTCAGTTCAGTTCAGTCTGTTCTGGGTGGTTGTTGAACTTCAACTGTGGTCTATCACCAGCTTCTTATTCGAAGGCTTTCAACTTGAGTTTGAATTCAGCTCCCTTACACTAGATAGTGAATGGTGTGAACCTACATCTGCTCCCCTCCCCTCTCTCTCTCTCTCTCTCTCTCTCTCTCTCTTCTTCGTCTGATCTTGTGTCCAGTAGGCTGGCTGCGTCTCCACTTTCTTCACATCCAAATGAAGTCGATCTGATCTTTAGTGTGTCCTGGTGTCTGGTGAAATCAAATCCATGTCGCTTTCTGAACATCCTTCTGTTTGTACACACTACCTCACCTCCAATCACCAAATCACTGAATGCCCAGGGGTCTCAAACAGTTCTCCATTCTCATTCATTTCATCGAGTCCTTCTCCACCCATGATCGGTTCTCTTCCCATGTTGTCTCCTCCCAGTTTGCCATTCATGTCACCCCACTCATTAGAATTTTGATGTCATCATCGCCAACTCAGATGGGGTGTTGTCCACTACTGATTGCAGTTGTCTGTAGAATTCCTCCTTCTCCTCCTGGTCTGTATTATTTGTATCATTCTGACTTTCATTCCTTTTGAGTTGAATCTTCCTGGCATGATCCTGATTGTGGAGGAGATTAGTTCCCACTGCATGAGAGACAGCCTTCGATGCTCTTGAAGACATCATGATACCAACTCCAAAACTCAGTGTTCGTGATTGTCATCTGGGTGACAATATCGGAGTAGATTATTGACTCTCCAGTTGACAGTTTGGAGAGTCCACTTCCATTCCATCTGCAGATTCCTAGCACTTCTATCCTATACCTTCCCATCTCGTTTGCAATCTGGGTAGCCTTGCTAGCTCCGAACATTGTGCGGACATTCAATGTCTCCATCCTTACTTTCGCTTTCATCGAGAGGGAGAAGACACATCGGCCAATTGGCTTCCCGAAGGCTTTCACCAACCGGCGTCATTTCGTCTCTCCGATTCCAGTGAGGAATAAGTTTGTCTTCATTTTTAATAGTTTCTTTGTGCTTCGGAGTTCTCTTTAGCGATTGAATTGGTTTTACGGGGTAGGATTGCTAGCCCTATGCTTAGTCTTCCCTCTTTATCCGGGCTTAGGACCGGCTAGTAAAGAATGTGAATACAAGGTTCAAACTGAATATAGCCTTAGGAAGAATTGGTTCGGGCTATACAGTAAAATGGCCTACAGGGATATTTAAATAAAATTCTCAATGACGCTAGCTGGAAACTTATTGCAGTGTCCTCTGGTTAACTGTACCAATGTTTTCTTAGTTAAGATTGGAAGGTAAAAAAGTTAGGGAAGTGATTGCATCAACCTGACTATTTTGGTTTATACTGAATATAACATACTTTGATTCTACGATTTCGTCTGTTAGTAAGAAAACGTATAAAATTATTAACTTTTCACTTTCTTTTTGAAATATGAATTAGTTAGCTCTATAGGCTATGCTGAAATTCTATAGTATATAACATGAAAGTTCAAGTCATAGAAACAGAATATATTTGACTGATATGTCAGATTATTCAAAATTTCATTCTGCAATTTCAACATGGAGATACGTGTTAGAATATGTCTACATATTGATCTTTTAGGGTTACCCTACACAGTGCCTACCTGTATAAGTATTCGGCAAACGGCATGAAATAAGTTCCTCTATGGTGTCACGATTTTCTAAACATAAATTCTAGGAGAAAACTAATTCGACAATAACATGTACGTCGAACGTATTCGAAAAACTCAATCTACACAACTCACTTTATATTCTTTATGACGATTCTTCAATAATTCCAAACCAGAATTAGAAGTTTAGGATTGATATAGTCCAGTACAAATTGACGGACATTAGGTTGTGAGCTAGTGGTATTCGAAACAGTATCATCTGAAATACTTTGGAGGCTATCATCATTACAAGGTGAATATGGTGTTAACTAATGAATATATAAAAGAAATAAAAACAGATTTCTCAAAACTCAAAATCTCAAGCAACTGATTGAAATAAAGTGGATTATACGCTGTAAGTTTAACTCTTTTAAATATTGCTGCTTTTCACTAGATAGATAAACGACAGTGAGATCAGGTACATATTCCCACATACAGAAGACGATTTGCTAGATGGAAGTGTGAAACTGAACAAAAGGAGTGGGAGGCGCCGCACATCTCAAGCCATTATCTATTCTGATGTGTGATGACAGCTAGACTGGCATTATATTCTAAAAAGTACCAAACTAGCAACTGTTTGTATAGCAAGTCAAAATATGGGTCACTTGACTGCGATCATCAAGAGGTTAGAAATCAATAGTTAAAGGCCCTATTTAGTACGGTCCAAAAATAATCACTATAGAAAACAAATTAATACAAAATATACTCAGCAACTACGTGCATATTTTCACAGTAGACAACGATCTACACTTATCGTGTGACGACTTGGATACTACTACCTAGTTGTTCAAACCTTAGTAAGTAGAGCGGAGTTCAAACCTGTAACCTACTGGTTAAAAGTCAAGTACTTATACAGGTGATCAAAAGCTCCACGATGAAAGAGACATATTCACTGTTCATCTCCGTCAAAATCGTGAATGTTTTATCCAACATTTATTAGCAACCCTCAGACTTGATTTCATCTTGGCTACTATTTTTCCTTACTAGATATATCAACGTGAATACATGTACATTTGTACTTATCATCCACAATGGAGAAACTCCAAACTTTAAATACGCTTCAGCAGAAATATAATTAATTTGGCTGCATATTATGTAAAAAAAGGGTAAGTTGCGTTTGTCGTCTAAGTTACTGTAAAGATTTCTGTGCTCCAACGTGACTACATGATTTACTATGAGATGTATCCATACGACTCGACTCAGCACAAATGTTTATTTACTAGGTGATCACAGCTTTTATAATAAGATTTGTAGTACTCGGATGCCAAGGGAAAAGTAGGTGGAACACAGTTTCAAACAGACACCAACCGGTTAAAAGTCAAATGTCACACCGAATTTTTCGGGTTGGTCGAGGTTTGTAAAAATGAAACCTAAAAAGAGTTGCATGTATATGGCTAACAGCTCAAAAGTCACGAAAAATCAAAGGCTCATTATCCGCTACGTCTGGCTAAAAAGTACCACTAAACATTTTTCGTGGATAAACGCTTTAGTCCTCAATGACATTCCTGAAACGGATTTAAAAGGAAGGCGAAACAGCTTAAAAATCTTGAGTAGAGCACACATTAAGAACATGCGAACAGTTAACATTGTACAACGGTACAAGTTACCACACAATACCAGCACAACAATTAGACGGTAACAAAAAGAACGATAAAGTCAAAATAACATCACGGGATAAAGGTAAATGATATGATGATGCGGCATACATAAATTTGTATTTGAACGATAAGACTTTCAGAAATCGATCTGCAACACTTATGCTACTGTTACGACATCTGTCTAGCTGCAGACATTAAAGTACAAAAGGGTTTAGTAAGTACAATCCTTTACCACACCTGCAGCATTCACCATCTGAATCGAGAACTTTTGCTGACCTTGAGATAAATCATTAGTTTTTGTGGACTCAAATGATGACCTGTGAACATCATCATCATCATCAGCAAACAAAATCCTCGAGGATTCGAACACGAACTACATACAGCCACCTCAGTTGCTTTCGTACTGATAATTGTATACTTGTTTCGAAGATGCCCAATTTATAATGTAGACCTGTGGGATAAACGGTAATTATTTTTGGTTAGAGTTCGGTGGTGAACTCTCTGAATGACGATAAGGAAATCATTTGTCGTTATCAAATATGATTCAGTAGTGAAGCCAATAGTAACCGGGATGCAATTTCCTTTCGTCTCTGACTTAAACAGAGCTACATACAAATTCTAAAAATATTGAAAACCCTTCAAATGCGCTATATGACTAACTTTTACTTTGCGATCGTTTCCAATTACTTCCCTCTCCTTTTAAAACTTCACAATGTCACACCGTCTATTGCTAACCAAAGTCCATTGCTTTTATAATCCCTCTTTTGCATTCACTTCAGAAAACATTTTATAATTCAAAAGTATTATACTTACCTTTCTATCCATCACAGTTCCCTTTCCAGAATTATTTACTATAGAGGCCTCGAAATCACTAGCATTACTTTCAGTTTCTTGATGAGAGAGGTTGAAAGCGTTTCCTTCTACTGTTTTTTCACCACCAGAAGTACTCTTTCTATTTGCTTGTACTACATTCAGCTGATCAGATTCATTAGACACAAAATGGTGACCAGGATCCATCGATTCAACCAACTGAGCAAGTAAAAGTTCATCTTCTTTATCAGAACTTATTTTATCCTGTCAAAATAAGCAGATGTTTCATTTGCAAGGTAGGACTGAATGACTTGCTACATTTCTAAAATCTTGTTCTTAGGATATTTGAATCAGTACTTGCAAGTTAAACGGCTATCACTAAAATACAAACCCAGGTCAAGTTACACTTCAATGTACCTAGATACATTCCTGAAAACAAATGGTGTGTATATATGGAGCATTAAATTAATTTCAAAGTAATATTCACGACTGACTGACATCAACTGGAGAACCACTGAAAAAGTGGCAACAATGAAAAGTTGTTCTGTCCTAGAACAAAGCTCATTGGAAGAGATTACCTGCGACCCTATGAGCTACCGAACCCATCATCTTTAGGTGAACTTGGTCAGAAGTGAAAAAGATCCCCCACCGACAATATTGAACGATGGTCACTCAATATCATGAACAGAATTAGTAAAACGTAGGACCAGTCGTTGAATGGTAACATGCTAGCCCCCAGAGTTGAAGACCCTAAGATTCGTTAACTGGTGAGGTCGTGTATATGCGCTGCTGAGTCCCATAACAACACACAAAAGGCTGTTCAATGATCCTGGTTTTCCAATGGATCTCCAAATAATGCCAATCGGTCATCAATGCTACCTCGCAACCAATAAATCTTCAAAATCATTATAGTGAAGTTCTTTACAGAATCATCACTTCCTACCTGAACCCTACAAACTGCGACACATACATACATAATGGCATGGTACCCTTTAAAACTAACAGACACCGCCACAACACCACACGATCGACAGTCTAATGCTGCCTTCAGATCAAGAAATATGGCAAGTGTCGGCCACCGAGAAGTATCCGTGTTCCAGAACCTGTCGGGGGGTAAAAATATAGGATCGATCTACCCTCATCCATGTCTAAAACCTACCTACCTTTTTCGAGTTTGCTATTCTCGAGGGTCAGCTAGGCGTCGCACAACTATGGACTCTAGATTCTTCGACACAACGTTAGTCAAACTAACTCAACTACAGTTGTCGTAGGAAGACTTTTCTCTCTTCTCACAAACTACGATGACCAGAGAGGTACACCGGTCAGGCAGCACCCCGCTGATTCCCATACACTACTTAATACCTCCGTCACTCTACTCAGCAATTTAATACCTCCTTCCTTGAAAAATTCGGCTGGAAAACTGTAAGCTCCTGCTGCTTTCAATCGTTTCGGGTTCCATACACCCTTCTCAACTTCAAGGAGAGGAGGAGAACTAATAGCCACGTACCATTCAGGTTTTCAATAGATGGTGGGTAACTGAAGCATTGCTGCCAACCAGTTGGATTCTGCATCAAAGTGTCCCGCCCAACCTTCTAGCCACCTATCCTGTCAGAAATCATCCACCTCCCGTCTTTTTCAGTGACGGTTTCGCTCACCATCGTCTTCTTCTTACCAGTATCCTTAATATAAACCTAAACAGCTGCCGAGTGTTACCCAACCCCGATGCCTTCCTTCTTCATCTCTCTTGCTTTCGCTACCCACCACTTCTCGGGATCGACACAAAAACTTCTCGTCAACTGAAGTTTAGACTGTTCACGCTCTTCGTCGTGGTTACAGCCAGCTGGAATCAGTTTCCTCGCATTAATCAATCAGTTCGAATGACCTCACGGAAATCCAATGACGCTTGCTAACCTTAGTGTATAGGTTAACGATTGTCTTTACCGCCGTTTCTACAGCAGACTCAATGTCACACTACCTCTCCTCAGGGTGAGGCATTGCTGTCATCATTAGATAAATGATTGGCTACCACCTCCCCAAATGACACTTGACATTCTCATCTTTCAATCGAACATAAACAGGTCTCACTATCGCTTGCTTCCTGCCACCAGTAACGTGCAGACATACACGAACGCGTGCTAGCGCGTGATCACAGTCCAAAATGGTACTCCACAAACAGCAGCGTTCCTCCACCCATCCTCTCCAACAATGACTTACAACAATATCATACCTCTGTGTCCATCGTTGGTTTGATGTCGGCGGACGACATGTGAGACAATGTCTCTCCTTATGCCTAGCCTAGGGTTAGTGCTGGTCAGAAACAAGTGACTGCTGGGACAAAATTCCAACAGATGATCGCCGTTGTCGGGTCTTTAGCATGGGACTCCGTAGACACCTCCGAGATGTTTCTCCAATTGGCTCAGCTTCCCTACTACAGCGTTAAAGTCACCCACCATTATGACTACATCTGAACGTTTTGCTTTCTGCAGAAAAATTGACAGCTCATAGGATTCATCCTCTGCATCATCCGAACCGCAGTCGGTGAGCGCATTGGCGGAGATTACAAATAGGCATCGGTTGGTAAAACGATCCTTCCTAGGCCTTCCACATCCACATCTGCGAACACCACATAGATACCTGTTGATTGGTATCCAGTAGAGAAGTGCACTTTCTGCCCTACACCTCAATGCTACGCCTACACCACCCAGCCCATGAAAGCTAGCCACTGAGTTTCAAAATACTCGTAAGGTGAATTCTCAAGATTTACCACTATGGTCAGGCGAGGTCAATTTAATAATCATACTCCAGCCCTGTCTCTTTATGTGTCTCACAGACACAACATATATTCATGACTCGAGATTCTATGGTTCTGTGAGGCGATGCTCGCTGTCCGATCTGGCACAGACTTCGCACATTGAAAGCCCCTACATGAAATCTATGGCGAGCGGGGTTTTATGAGACCAGGAACGAGGTTCCGATATCTTCATCTTTGGCAACGGTCGCCAAATGAGAGGCTGGGTAAGGCACAAAAGGTTTAATATTAGGATAACGAGGTGAAGACAAAGGAGGAGACAGAATTGAGGAGGATAGGTTACGTTTCAATGGGTCTTGTGTACTACTAGAAGCGTACAGGCAGTTGACACTTCCCACCTCCCCACACCGTGGAAGGTTATTTTTCAGTAAGGTATCTGAGAGAGAAAAAGATTTATGTGACCGAAGAACCCTTTTACTTGAGGTCTGGCACACACAGACTTTTACGGGATGTTATTTTGAGTTATGATCGTCCTAACGCAAGATAGTGAGAACCCATAACCCCATTGTGATATACAAACTCGACCACCACGTTAAGGCAGACCTATCGGTCGAGTAGCATTAAGTGCTAAGACAGAAAATCTACTGCTTTCCTGGATCCCATGGACAGTCACCTGTGTCTTCTCAGATTGGACCGTGAAGTGAGGGCTAAAAAGAACATTGAAACTCACCATCATTTCTTTCTAACCTCTGCCTATTCACCCACTGACTGCAGCTCGGATGAAATGAAAGACAAGTCCTACTGGAAACTGCCTAGCTCCCAACTCCGAAACCCAAACGTTGACATGTGGTTGTCGTAACAGATGCAGCACGCGTTCGGACAATGACCACCCGTTAGTTCGAACACAACTATGTCTGCGCTTAAATGGACGTTGGAAACCTACAACAACATGACCATTCCAAGTGAGGCTCGATAAGAATACCAAGGCCGTTTTTAATGAGGAACTGAATAGACAGTTACCGGAACAAGACAGTGTCACTCATCCAGAAGAAGCATGACATCATCTACAGTCTGATGTCTAAACAGCCTTAAACACCGGAAACAATTCACAAAATGTGTTAGAAGGCGTTAGTACATCTCCGCAGCTGCTTCATGAATAATAGATAATCAAGAACGGATTCTTGCAGGCTCTGAGCGAAATGAGAAGAAGAATCCACTCAAATCTAAACTGATCAGAAAAACTACTCAATCACCGTGACCAGTCAGTGGTCAGTGAGATTATATCAGAGAAACATGGGTCTGTGATTCACGTGCAGGATGGACGATGCAAACGATAGGTGGAAAAATTCAACCAACTTTTCTCTTCTTTGGAAGCTTTACAATCTCATCTAGAATAAAACATTCAGATATGAATTCCAACTGTTGCTGAAGTAAATAAAGTCGTATGTAATCTGAAACGAGAAAGGGAACCAGGTTGAGATGGGCATGCACCGGACAGTGATCAACAATCATTGATCAAATCAACCGAAGTGCTAGCTAGCGTATGGGAACCAGATATGATCCCGTCTGGTCGGTCTCAGACACTGATTGTCTTAGTTCTCGAAGAAAGACGAACCACCACCACCCACCCACACACACACACACACCGGAGATAACCGCAGGACATAGTGTCTAAGACTCTAGGTCTCATAATAATTAAATACCTAAGTGAAGCTCAGGAGCATCGAAGCCATAAAAACTAGTCACGCCTCACACCTGGTCACGGATGTCCCGACCAGATCTTCACCCTTCACCAGGTTCCCGAACACCGACATACTTCCCAGCCCCCTACAATAGCTGTATTCCTCAACCTGATTACATCGACCGAAATGTCTCATGGCAATGTCTCTCAAGGAATGAGATGGGTATTGGATAAGTACATCACCCTGTTAAAGGCTCTGTATCCGAAGACCACTCAGCGTGTCAGAGACTAGACTACGACGACTTATCAGCTGATGTCCACTCTCTCCAGTTTTATTTGATTTCGTCACAGTCGGGTTTATGTATACCTAACTCGTCCTTTCTTCGGAATCTACAGAGATAGACCTTATCACAGGAAAATCCTTAGTAGACCTAAAACAAGCAGATGAAATAATCCATTGTCACGTGAAGATCTTGATAGAATACAATTTTCTGAACATCTTGAGTGGCAATTCGAGAATGTTTGGAATTTGTTTCTCACCATTCAAATGAAAATTGTTGCTCCTGACCTTCTCTGGATTTTTGTCCAACAATAGGGAGTCGAATAGTTGGAAGCACTGGTCACTCCACTTTTCTGGGAAGTAGGATCAGCCCTCTTGGTGGGTCAGAGATAGAGGAAATCTCTGTACAAATGCAAAATCTGCGTTGACTTTTACCAACCAACACCATCTCTAGGACTATCATGATACCTGATATCCTAGTAAGGGCTGAACCCCATCAGTGCGTGTCTATTTACTATTTATCTAGTTGGAGAATCGCAACTGTTTCGAGAATACGAGCTAGGACTGCGATCACACTTTACTATTGGTAGGTTTCCGCTTACTCCTTAGTGGGACAAAATGCACAGTTACTATAACCTGCGTTTTCGGCTGGCAGATGAGAACATCAAATGTACGTTTAGAGAGATGGCTAGGTTACTATCGGAGCATGGCGGTCATTATAACCTGGATGAAGCTTGGGACAACATTGTCTGCTGTAGAAATAGTGACAAAGACTGTTAGTAACCTACATCTAAAAATAAATGAAGACCAGAGGATTTTCGTCACCTCATCCGAACTGATCAACGTGGGAAGACTCACTACAGCTGGCTCTGAGCACGATGAGGAGTGAAAGCAGCTTGAACGTAAATAGACTGAAGGTATTCGCAATGATGATGAAAAGTGGTGGGCGATAAAAGTGAAACAGATGAGAAGAGCAACATCGTTATTTAGTTTTCGGCTATATGATAGACGTGCTAATCGGTAACCTTGGTGCCTCTGACTTAGTGACAGAATTCCTACCGGCAGGATACCAGGTTGACTTTGAGTATACATTGTCATCTTAGGTGACAAAATGAAGAGTCTTCTGAATACCTGAGGTGGAAACCTAAGTATGTACAGTTTACATTTGCATCTATCAAGTGTAAGAATGTTTTACGACTCGTTCATACCAAGCCCAAATACACGGGTAAAAAGAGGGGGTGTTGACCATTTCACTTATTTAGGAAAATGCATTACCCCGAATAGGTTTGTTGATGGCGAAAAATTAGCTCAGATACGAAAGGTCCATTTGATTTATCCACTTACGTCATCTCTGGTACCGGTGAGATATCTGATTTCCTGATAAAAGACCAATGTACTGTACTGCATTTTGCTGTTATATTATACGAATCAGACAAGGGCGTTGAAGGTAGATATGAAGAAATTACAGGTTTGTCAACATAGGTGTCTTTGCAGCATTGCTCATGTATAGTGGAATCACCGTGTGAACAACATCAAAGTTATAAAAAGAGTACTAAGAAAGGAATCTCAGTCAGTCAATGAAGTTGTGCACCTTAACTAACTGAGATGGCTAGAACACGTACTGGGTATGCCAAGCGACCACCTACCTTGATGAGCGACTTTAGGCAAAGTAGAATTAGTTTAGGAGAATTCTAAGGATATTTGCGTCAAGACGTGGTACCAGTTCGTGACGTCTATGACTGGTGATGTGAGCCATGTAGGGGGATGTAGGCTGCCTAGGTGGAGTCCTCAAGTTGTTGCGAACCAATGGCTGAAAAACCTTGGTGACTACTTGAAATTGGTCACTATGATGCAGATATATATACTATTTTTCGTATTGAGATGTTGAATATTCTCATCAACTTTCATTTACTAACCCCCTCATTCTCCAGTATACCTTTGCCTACTTCTACGTCATTTGTTTTTCATACACCTTGTCTTTGCATGTTGCTGTAAAAGGTGGCAACTAGAATCGATGCACTTTTGTTAGGTATTAAGTTGATTTATCTGTTTGTTCTACTTTGGTCTTCTCGCTTTTCCCTTTTTCTATATTTATCATTTTTATGTCACAATATTTTCTGTGTGGTGTTCAGGTTGGAGCCAAGTCTGTGGGTGATAATAAATAAAATCACTTCAGATTTCAATACAACTTGAGGCAATAGACTATTTTTTGGAAAACAAACGATACAGTCCAACAATCATAGGAGTAAAGCTGTGAACTGCGTTACTTTTTTATCCCCTTATTCACTCTTTGTTTGGTTTTCTACTAATTTTGATCACTTTTCTCTATTCCTCTATCTTTTATCTTGGTGCCTTTAATTTTTATGCACTGATACCACGGGTGCTATGCAGTCATGTTAAGTCCCATGTTGATATTAAACTGGCAGTTTAACGAAAATACTAAGCAATTTTCGATAAGTTATGCTTTTCTTAACCCAGTAATTTTTATGAAAGATCAGTAATTTCAGCAAAAAGTACAACAAAATGACTTCAAGAAAAGCAACTTAAAATAACCTTTAAAAACTAGAATACACGGTACAAATATGATCTTTTTTTGCCATCGAGGTGATGGTTACTGCAAATATCGAATAAGATAACAGAAGTTAGCTGAAGTGTTGACCTGAATTATGAAGCAATATTTCAGTAAAGAACCACATGACCCTAATGGTAAGAACAAGATGATATAGTAACCCGCATATGACCGTTAAGAATACTTGAAGAGATATGAATGAAAACTAATCAAATTGTATACGCTTGCGGGTTAGTTAATGAGTTTCACCTACTGTGTATGAACCAGTGATACTACCTGGATGCCCACACCTCAGTAGGTAGAGTGAGGTTCAAACGTGTGATCCATTAGTTTAAAATTTAGCGCCTGGATCAGGGAACCGCAGTTCCACTCATCTTAAGACCGTGTAGTGTAAATCCTTTGTTATCCAGATATGGAAGAAGGATTGAGAATTTGCATTTAAACCATACCTCTAAGTGTTGTTACTATTTTAAACCTTAACAAGTGTTTCTAAATATACCACTTCTCAATTACCTTATCCATAGAGCAGACTATTTGTATAATTTCTTTTGCATAGTAACAATCCTACATCTAGAGTTTTTAATATAAAATACTATATAAAAACGGCAATCTCCACTTCTCACTCCTTGATAAGAAAATGATTTGCTTAAACTTTGCTGCTTTTTACCTGAACGCTCTTTGACGGTCCCTTTAATTATTTCTAAAAAACCTTGACTAAGATTTCACATCAGTGACACTTACCTGTCCAGAAGGTGAATGTTCATCAAGAACGTCATACGGTGTATCCCCCAATAAATCCATAAGCTCTTGCTCAAGATCCGCATTATTGAAATCGGCATCATTGGTACTGTTACTTTCCCCGCCTATTTTAGGAGACAGCCACTGCATTGTGAAATACAAAGTAGGGTTGATGGTACCAGCAGGCTGTAAGTAACTTCACCGAGTTTAGTTTAATCAGAAGACTGCTGGGAAAAAGGATTTGAAGCGTTGTATGCCAAGTATGCAGTTTCCAAAATAGTCTGCACAATAAAAAAAGACAAACTGTGAGGTTACAAGTCCACTCATGCTACCTGACTAGTTACAAAACAAAACAGGATATTCCTCTTATTGAGGAAATCACCTCACATGTAATAACCTCTTAATCGGATGTTTTCAAAACGTGTTTTGGCCACGTGAAACGTCGTCATACGTGCTTACCTGAACCGAAGTTTTAGAAGAATGATGCTAATTCACGACGGCATTCTGACATTTACACTAAAATCATACAAGTCTGAGGAACAGTAACTAAAATCAATCGTGATTACTGAGTTGTTGGCTTTGTAACGAAAGCACCCACACCCCTTCATATACAACTAATGGATATTCTGAAATGGCTTTGAGTATGACAAGTCATGCACATTACAACTAGTGATGCCAGCAACTGTTTAGGCTTATTACGAATACCGGAAAGGAGATGATGATTAGTGAAACCATAACTGAAAAGAATGGTATTCTGATAACCTCTCAAGACTGATGGCTAGAATGCTGGGTGGAACACTCTGAAGCATAGTTCAACTGCCCTTCAGTACTGGTTCAGTTGTCCAGCAACCAGCCTGAACCTGAAAAGGACGTAGACGTCGGTCTTTCAACATTCTTCGAAGTTGAGAAAGCTGTTTCACACCTGAAAAAATGCAAAGTAGCAGGACCTGAGTGTTAGTAAATAGAAACTCCCAGGGTGGGAGTTGAAAAATTACTGAACAGAGCAACGAAGATGCTCGATAGTGAATTGGAATCAGAGGTAGTGGCGTCAGACTGGTCGACATTAATGATCATTCCAGTCTATGAGGGACATTTCCTGTGACAACCACACGAGAAGTAGTTTGACTAATATCGTGTCAAAGATCCTTGGGTCCAATGTTATCCGATGCCCAATTGAACCTCGAGAACAACAAACTGAAGAAAATGAGGCAGGTTTCAGATGTGGACGAGGGTGCACCGATCACATTTTTACCCAACAGGTTTTGGGACACAGGCATACTTATCAGTGGCCGACACTGGCCAGATTTCTTGACCTTAAGGTAGCATTCAACCCTGTCAAGTTGTGGTAGTGTCTGTGAATTTGGAAGGAGTACCGAACAAGTAAGTAAAGCTAACCAAATTTCTCTACTCGAACTCATGCAGCCGAATAAGGGCTTATGGGAATTTATCATGAGAACTGGGGAAAACTAGTGGTATCGGTCAGAGATGCCCACTATCAGCGCTTCTATTTAACTTCGTTATAAACATTTTAATGCACATAACCTTAAGAACAGCTGACTTCACAGGGATTGACCTACTCCTTGAAGGGCATGTGGTTGACTTAGCGTAGGCAGATGACATTGTCTTGCTGGATGAAGACGCTGACGAAATGCAGGGTCTTTTGAACGGGTTAGGCAAAAATCTGAGTGTGTTGACAACCATGCGTTTCGCACCTGTCAAATGCACGATAATGTTCCAAGACTGATCTGCAAATACTTCCAGTTTAGTGATTGCGAGTGAAGTGGTTGAATGCTCTCACCACTTCACTTACTTGGGAAGTTGAGTCAGCCCAAACGAGCTGGTTGCTGACTAAATCTCAGGTTAAATAAAGAAGGCTCGTTCGACACTTGCCAACTTGCGTCATTCGTGGTACCGGCGAAATATCCGACTATCTATTACAGGACGACTAAACTGCGCTTCAGTTTCTGTCCTGTAATACGGCTGTGAGACATGGCTGTTAAAAGTAGGTATGAAGCGGTTATAGAATTTGATCATAGGTTTTTTCGTAGCATTGCTCGTGTATGGTGAAATCACCAAGTTAGCACTGTAGAGGTTACGTGAAGGGTACTAGGCAAAGTGCAGCCGACCAATGAAGCTGTGAACCTCCGCTGACTAAGGTGGCTTCGCTATGTACTGCGCATGCCAGGTAACTGCCCACCTTGACGTGCAATGGTGAGAGGAAACGAATCAGGTTGGGTGGCCAGACTAAGACGTGACACCAGTTCATGAAGTCTCTGGCCGTGTGAGATGTAGACTGCCTACCTGGGGTCCCGAAGATGATAGAAATAAGTGGTTGGGGAGTCTTGGTGAAATGGTTAGAATTGGTCACAATGTCGCAGATGTATTCACCCTTTGACGTCTTACAAAGCTTGAATGTTTTGACTAAACTCCATATTAAATTTCGTCCCCTCCTATAGACGTTTGTCTACTCTGGTATCCACTTGTTCATTGCATGTTGCTGTGCAACTCGGCAACTTGAACCTAGGCACTTTTGTATGAGGTTCCACGTTGATCTTTTATCTATCACAACGACCAAATACTTAAATAATGTAGTCAATTATGTCCAATCTCTTAAGGCGACTTTTATCATCCAGTCATTGTGAAGAGCACTGAGTGCCATTTTTCCGTTGTTCGCTAACACCTCACGTCAAAATGCGCGTTTAGCAGTTGACTTAAAATTTAAACTGCACCTGACAAAGCCTCCAGCTGTCTGCCTTTCTACAGACTCACGCATAATGAAGCGTGGTAATCAAATTTCGCTTCTTAAACTGACTTTAACAATCACAACACATGTAACTTTACTGTATTTTCTTCGATAAGAAACCCACAATGGCTAACTCCAGTGTCGCCAGCACGTGGCTATACCACAATTATCTGTTATGCTTGCCAATAAGATTAGATAGTGCTAGTAAGACCTGATGCTCAAGTTCTAAGCTTTACGAAACAAATGTCATTCATGGCGCCAGCGTGGTACTTGAGTCTAAGTAATGTTTCTTATTGCCCAATAGTTCGCTATATCTAACCATATGGCTGAACGGACAGAGAGGATGAAGACGCACCTGAGAAGTTGAAACTGATGTTTGGTAAACTAATGTGACTCAGAACCGATTATAATGGCAACGATGATTCCATGCATTAACCTTATCTAAATTCAGAAAATCTTATACAGCATATTAACTTCTACGATTTTCCTTTGCTGTTTCTCTAGCTCTTTAAATGAAGTAGTATATACTTCATTTCCACCACATTCCAGTCTGAAGACTTCACTTTGATATCATTGTCAAGCACAACAACTAATACAGCCATCCAGGCCAAACAGTCTTGTTCTGGTGAAGATCTGAAACACTGGATGCAATCAGTAAGATATCCAGTAACATAGAATAACTAGTTGTAATGTTTATACTATCATTAGGTTTTTAAATATTAAAACTATCAACTGCAGCCCAATCACAAAATACACTGGTACCAAAACTTGTTTTTAAAAATGCAAAAGCTACAGCCGCAAACGACTTCAAGTAAATCAAGTTTGGGCCCAGAAATATGTAGGCTGGTACGAACGTTTACGGCAAGCAAACATCTACAGCTAAAAGTGTAAACCTTTGACAACATGGGGAAAAACACCGTTAAGCAAGAAACAGATTAAGCCACACCAAGAGTTGGCCTCGCATTACCTTCAGGACAAAGTAACGTTAGCTGTATGTTGCTCCAAGCTTTTATATCTTTACAAATTATTAGTCCATTGCGTACCTAGTGGAACAGAGGGCTTCAGTAGTATCTCTCCATTGCACCCTCTTCTCGGCAGTCTTTTCAACCTCGCTCCACCACCACCCACAACCTTTCATTTCTTCCTCACACCACCTCCTCCATGTCACCCTCAACTCGTCGCCCAACTCGTCCTTTCCCATGCGGGTCCCACTCCAGGGCCTCACCTGGCACCTCATGTCCCCAATCCGTCTTCTCAGTCTATCCCCAATCCAATCCAATCCAATCCAATCCAATCCATCTACACTTTCTTCCAATGCATATTTGTTGGGCTACACGTTCTTGGTTGGTTCATTACCCGGCCAGAGTTCCTTGTTGCTTATTCTCATTATTCTGGCCATCTGGTCTTCAGTAACGAGCCAGAGTAGGCAGATGTTGATGAATGTCTGTAGTTTGTTGGAAATGCTTTTCGTGACGCGCCAAGTCTCTAAACCACCACATAGAAGCACTGAATCACTCGACTGAATTAGTATTGAAAATCTGGATCTTGTCCTTTGTGCTGAGTATAGTGCAGTAGATCTCCACACTGATTTCAGACTAGTGCACAAAGGCCTGTCTTGCTTGCTTGCTTGCTTGCTTGCTTTTCCCATCCTGCCTTTGACGTCCTCATCTGTGCCTGTGCCACCCCACCTGTAGTTGAAACGATGCTGTCTCGCCTACGTAGGTGAAAGAGACTACTTCCTTTACACTTCTCCCGTTCATGGTGATTGCTGCCTCTTCCTGTTGATGCTGTTGTTGGTTGCGCATCTTCATCACCTCCGTCTTCTCCACGTTCACCTCAAGGAAGTCCCGTCTTCGTTGCCCCACATCGCCTCTTCTGCCAACGTACTACTTTTCGCCTGTACATATCCCAGTTTCTGTGACAAGACATCAGACATAAATCATCATCGTCGGCGAAATCCAAATCTTCTAGAGTCTTTTCATCGGTCCATCCAGCGTGTGCCCACCTTCTCGCTCCTCACGGGTTGCTGCATGATCCAGTCCAATCCAGTCCAGTCGAACACAATCAGGAAGATCATCGCTCATAGTGGGCGACAACCTTATCTTACTCCTGTCTTCACCACATTTCAAAGGCATCACTAAGCTTTCCATTGTGAATCACTTCGCATGTAGCATCATATAGCATAGCATATAGCTGCTGTTGAATGACGTTAATAAAGGTTTGTATCACTAAAACCATACTGTTGAAGCAGCTGCCTGCCAAATTACTTCTCAGTCGACGCTGTCGAAGGTCTTTTCAAAGTCGATAAAGTTCAGGTAGAGATCCAGTCGACTGCCATTCTACGTTCTGTTCTATGATGATGCGTAGCGTTGCATTGCATTCCATTTCATTTCATTGCATTGCAATT